GCAATACGCTGGATCCTTTATGTAGTCCCATAGGAAAAACTTCACAAATATATATATCTGTAAAAAGAGCTTCAACCCACATTTCTGTAAAACAGAAATGCCACAATAATTTTCTTTTACCCCATGCAGAAACATCAAACATGAGAAAATTTGCATCATTTAATTGAAATGATTTAAGATGTCATGTCACACAATTGAATTGAATTCAATTCAATTTAGACAGCTGATATCATACCTACATTCCTATCCAAATTCCACATGACACAACACACTGTACGGTAGAATATATCTAAATAAATTAAGGAAAAATTCTACCAATCCTGATCAATCACAAGTTCATTAAAACACCCAAGATCATGAAAATGCCACCTCAATCACATAAAATATAAGCTCTGCGAACAAACTCTCACCTTTCCGAACATCACATGACACATCTGACCACACACCAAATGCAAACACTATCTTTGTTACACAACGATGCAAAATAAACCAACACAACCAATATCCTTGAACCCACTCACCATAAATCCACCCTCACACTCATTTAAACCAAAAAGCAAACACAGAAACTCATAATCTGCACAAAAAGACAGTAATAATTCAATTTTATAGTGGAGTATGATCAGCTTATTCAAGGTTTCAGTTATAATTTGGGGATTTAGTTAATTTTTTATTCTGAGTTTGAGTGTAAGAATTCTTATATATGATCTTAATGATAACATATTTTTTATGCATAAAGATTCTGTCTGAATATCTCTCTATGCATCCAGACTTTAACACTTGTGCACACACCAAGACTACAATCTTCCTGAATGTCATGCTGCGTAGATAGGTACACAGGTACCAAACTTTACAGTGACACACCCCACATAATTGTAATCCTGATATTCACCACTGTATGAACTCCAAATCCCATATGTTTCACATATCTCTAATAGAATCTTCAGGGTATATCAATCAGAGAACCAAATCACAGACAACAGGTCTGACAAAAATAGAGAGACAAATTTTTCCTAAAAATTGTTACATCTCTTCATATGCTCAAAAGTTGCATTTGGTGGATTGTTTCAAACTGACAAAGCTTGCTTTTGGATAGCATGAACATCTGATAACCTGCCTGTGTTTAAAGAACACAAAGCATCATGCATTCAGAGATGATTTCACTCTGACAGAATACTCGTAATTCAAGATGTTTCTCCACATATTAGCTGGGACTGCATTCCCTATGTATTCCCTACATACGACAACTGCCAAATCTTACACATGCATATTCATTTCAACTTTATATTCGCATCATCATAATGGATTTTTTCACAGCCTGTTGTAGGCCTTAACCGCCTCAATGATGCCTCGCCACTGGTCTCTTTCCAGTGCCTATCTTTGTTTGTACTCTTCCATTGCCTTCAATCTTGGTCACTGTTAGTTTCTTGCAGCAATTGGTTTTATTTGTCCTCGATAGGGGTCTCCTATATTCACAGCAAATGGGTATTCCCGGATCTTTTTGGTTTCATTTTCATAGGGCTTTAATGACAGTACAGTTGGATGTTTTATTTATGGTTCGCTTAATGAAGCTGTCAGTATATCACTACAGCATTCAACTGTAAGATGCTCACTGAATGAATTGAAGGGATGTGGCAGGAAATGATTGTCGCCCAAATTGAGGTACCATCCTAACAATTGTCTGGAGAAACTGAGGGGAAAATATAAAAACATGGTCAGGATAACTAATCTATGAGCTAATATTTGAACCCAGGACCTCCCAAACAGGATGCAGAGTCCTCAACCATGGCATCTAATAACAATGAACATTATTAATTTAGTACATATTGTGGTGTATAGACCCACTGGTAAGCAGTGAATTTGTAAACATCAGCCATTGCTAGGTAATGTCCATAACATAAACGCATGCAATAATAGAAGTACAGTCCACACAGTGACTGTTGACATGCAACGTCACAGTAAACACTCATCTACAACAACAGAGGCTGTTTTCTGTGTGGTCAGTGCAGACTATATAACAACAGTTATATAGTGTCTTCCCTGTTTACCCAAAACTGAGGATAACCGGTATGGAGGCAGGGTCAAATACCTCCACCATGACCCTGTGAGTCATAGGAGATGACAAAAAGAGAAGTCTCAAATCTGAGACAGTAAAGTATGGTCACAAGTCCCAAGGGACTCAGACCCAAGAAAGACTGCGATGGCAAGGGCCAGCAGCATATACAAAAGACAGACCGGTCCTCTCGTCAGAGAGGGCGCCCAACAAAAACAAGACTGTGTCAAAGAGTAATAAATATCTGGTCATGAGCCCAAGATTGGGCTTTACACCAAGACTTACTGACTGACTGACTGACTGTCAGTCACAATTTGACTTTGACTTACCCGAGGATGGAAATAGATCCAGTTTCCAAAATGTCATGTTTTCTAGTTTCTAGTATATTGGACAATGAGAGAAGTCCAAAAACCCCAGTAATTCTGAGTGTTATATACTATCATCAGAACCCTTTAGAATCTATATTAATTTTGTCTCATAAATGACATTTTTCACACTACAATAAAGCTGGTATCAAGCAACTCTTATACAGTGAATAACAAATCCACAGTTCAGGTAGTACCTAGAATTGGGCCATGACCACTTCCTTGCATATCCTTTCCAATTCATTATTCATCATCATCCAATGATCTGACAATATACAGTCCAAGTTACTAACAGCAACAAACAAATTGGCAAATAAACAGTTCATGTAAAGCTCTTTCACATAATTACCTATCATCAAATATAATGTTAGCTGAATAAATGCATCAAAAATATGATAATCTGTGATTAGCCTAATTCAGATGAAATTTGGTTAATGAATATACTCTGAGAGGGTTAGAATATTTTGGTTTCTGGTGTTCTGGAAAAACTGCTGAAATATCTGTCATGTCACCTCATTCTTCAGGGTGAAAAAAATGCCAAGCAAGAAACCAGCATGAAGCAGTTAGCAATCAGAGCAGAGCTTTATGCTGGTTTCTTGCTTCACTTATTCAATGACCCTGAAGAATGAAGCAATGCGTTCCTCCAAAATATCAGTTGACTTCTAACAGCCTACTTGGTATTACATCCCAAAAGATAGGACTCTTCATGGAAATGAGATTTAGGGAACATCACCATATCAGTATTGCAGTTTTGTGCACTTAAACCTTTTTATGGGGGAAATACTCATACAAACAAAATATACTGTTTCAACTTGGGTATACAGAACTTGGTATCATAAATAACAATGAATAAATCATACAAACTACAGATGTGTTTAAATGCATTAAAGGACAGGATCACAAATTTACAAAAAATATAATTATGAGTTTTAAAAGAAGCTGCATTGTATATTAAAACATATTCAGTATCAATTGGGGCTCTTCAATATTGCTGTTATCCAAATAAACTGTACTGTTCACATCCCCAAAGCTGTTTCTTTTGTTCGCATATATGAAAAACAACACTCACTTATTGTGAATTTAATTTATAAATCCCTCGCTGAAGTTGAAATTCATATTGACCGAACACTCTGAAATGCTCATCTAAGTATCTCCTGCACATAACAAAGTTTAACAACAATTCCATGTGTAACTACATTTCCTAATCCTGAATACCATCACTTTATATACTGTAGCACACAGTACTGCTGCTATGCAACAATCGCAAGAAGGAACATGCACTGCTTGGTAATGGTTGGTAAACATGTCAACAACATCAGAGCTATCGCTAGGCAACTGCCCATACCAACAACAGAAGAACTGCTGAAAGCTGAAGAATCTTAGATGCAATTGCCAGGGAACGGCTGTTTAAGACACAGCAGGATGGAAAATGCTTAGCTGGTGCTGCGGTGATTTGTAAAGTGTGGAGATCAGTAATAGCATTGTAATTTGTAGTTCCGACTGGTGCATATAAGTGGTTAATAAACCTATTCACCGATCCATATTCCATCTATAGTCACACCCCTAAATTGTGACAACATGAATTTCTACAAATTCTTGACACCGCTTCACACAAAACTAATTAAGAATTCCAGTTAAGTGCACAAATTCTGCAAAAATACTGGTGACAAAGATGACCCAAATTCCACAATCAATTCAGCTTGCTATCAAGTGCAACTTCCCTGTTACATACCGCAAAAAAGCATGATGCCCATCATCTAAGCGTCACTAGCAAAACATTATCCACAATGTCAACGTCCTTAGAATAGCGATTCAACATCCTTCCAACAGGACTAACATCAAAGGATACTATGAGACATCTCATTATTACCCAGCAAGAGGGCATGCAGGATTTGTGATGCATTCAGCCTTCCGACAAAACTGGCAAGTAATGACATTAGGACTGACACTACTGCAACCATTCCAACAAGACACTGCTAACCTTTCCATGTACATAACACACCATAAGCATTCAACATCTAGGTTTCAGCCAATGAAACCACAATAATGCTACGTAGGGAAGGTTTCAAGATAATTACACAATGGAAGTTTCTGTTCTCTGAAGAATACACAACATGTTAGATGATCGTAAGATTTGGAGCTTAATAAAGGTTTCAAAACTCAGGAATTCTGTATTTATGATTAAATATTCTGCCAACTAATATGACAATATAAATTCAGAAATAAAATCTGAAGACATAGCAATCATAATGTACCCCGAATTCAATATGTATAAAGATCAACACATTAAACCAAATATAGTGACAATGAAAGAAAACAGTACATGATAAGAATATAAAACTAGTCTTTACTATAATAAAAAAATGGTATTTGCTTATCCCAATTGAAGTGTTTAATCAAAGAATCCCTCTAGCCCTCATATATTGGTCAGCACCCTTAACTGTATTAATTTATACAGTTAGTTCAGCTGAAACTGGATAGTTCAAAGCTCTCAAAAGTAAAACAATCTTCAAACATGACAAAGCAATCCACAAGCCTCTGATGGAACTGGAAACTATTATTCTCTTGTTCAACACAGAAACATTTCTTAAGCCCAAGCAGACTTCTTCATATTCCTGTGTCTTAACACCTACCAAAAAATTTTCTTTTTCACAAATTAAATATATCTCTTAGTACTATAAAGATAAATCAAGCTATACAACAGCAACATAAAGCAACAACACAGTAACAGCAAGAAAGCAGGTAAGAAAAGCTATGCATGCATGCACAAATGAAAACTCCTTTTGTATAGCCATCCTAAAATACAGGTTCTGCTGACATAACTTTGGTAATGAATATTAATTATTTTTGTTACGAAAATCTAGAATCATGGAATTCCATTTGCACCATGCATCCCTCTTTCAGAAAGTACCATATATTCTCAAATGTGCAATGTTTCATTACTAATCTTCAGCATTAAAATGAACAGACATCAAGAGAAATGCAACTTTCATACATATTTAGCAAATATTATACAGGGTGTATCACAACTCAACGGCAAAACTTCCGGAATGGACTCCTCATATAGTGAGAAGAAATAAAGTTTATGACAACATGGTTCCGGAAATGCATATAATTACAGAGTAGTAATTGTGTCTGCACGCCACTGAAAAGAATTGGCAAAGGAAAATTTATCATGAAGTAATCACAGGTGACATCATGATGATCACAGAGCTGTCCTCCCAGTGAAAAGCCAACCCACTGATAGAAAGGCTGTCCTCCCAATGAAAAGCCGACCCACCGACAGAAAGCACTAATGTAGCCAATTCCTTTCAATGGCGTGTAGACACAATTACTACTCTGTAATTATATGAACTTCCAGACCCATGTTGTCATATACTTTTTTCTTCTCTCTACATGAGGAGTCCATTCCTGAAGTTTTGCCGCTGAGTTGTGATACACGCTGTATTTTAGCATCCTGTTGCATTGAGGCATCATCCTTATTATTAAGGCACCCGTCAATAATCCAACAATATTTGAAAATATAAAAGACATCTAGAACATGTTTCTCACTAAAAGTGTAACTTTAATACTTTACAATGTTGTTAAAATCATAATATGTCATTAAGACACTAAAAGTATAACTTATACACTAAAAGTGATTCTCAGATTACTAAAACGTCTCTAGTTTTTTCACATGTATAGTGGTCTCCCTGAAAACAAAACAATTAACATCATCATAAAGTATTAAAGTTACACTTTTAGTGAGAAACATATTCTAGATGTCTTTTATATTTTAAAGTATTGTTGCATTATTGACAGGTGCTTTAATAATAAGGATGATATTTAGCAAACTTCAATAAACCAAGCCACAAATAACCAAGCGCAGCACAAAAGGAAACTCAATGGGGGAAGGTGGCAGTCACTAACAAAATCAGGCAAATTTTAAAATAGAAGCTCTTATCCAATAGAAACAAACTACTACTGGATAGGTAGGATTCGAGGTTTTCACAGCAGTGACTATGAAGAATGCCATCTTCTGGGATGTGGCACAATGTAGATCTTGTGTGAACTGCTGTTTCAGAGGAATGTATCGCCTCCATCTTCAGGATAGAAAAATCCGTGACTGAGGAAGCAGCATGAGAGGTGACTAGCCATATCCCAGAAGACAGCATTTTTCATACTACTGGACAGTATCAGAATGGTACTGGCATGATTAATCTCTATCATAAAAGATTCAGTACCAGACAACACAATTACTTTACTCAGCTATATATGCTAATATATAGACAGAATTTCACAGTTTTTGTTTCCAACATGGCATTAAATATAATATTTCAACACCTTTCTCATCTTGCAAGATTTGAGATTCTTGCAGCAGTAAACACGACAGAAATTTTCTGCTTCTTCGCCTATTAATTTTGTTTTGTCACAAGAACATCCACAAAAATACTGGCAAAATGTGACAAAATCTGTTGCATTAACTAGTAACTGACATGAATGCAAGAGAGATTTGTTTGACTTTATTTATTTATATTTTTGGCGGTCTATATTATTCCATAGCACACTAAACCAATCAAGGAATAAATGTCAACTGTGGGAATTGATAAAACATACAGAGGGAAAGGGAGAAAGGAGGCAGGGAGGGAGAGAGATCTGCACAAAACTTTTAAAGTCTGAATATTCCAACAGCAGGGTACCTTATTCTATAGCACTCTGATGACGACTGATTTATAATTTCCTTTAAAACGAATTATTTTTCTCTCACTATACTGGTTACAGGAAGTTACAAAATGATACCATTACCGAAAACAGGCAGGTGAGCCATGCCCGGATATTATGTGGGATTGTGTTGTCCAGGGTGTCAATATCTTTACTGAACCGGTTTAAGATCCTGCCTGTGGGTGTAGTATCGAAGAAGCTCAGGGGGTTGGTGAGAACATGTGAGAGCATCTGGGAGTGGAGATAAGTAGCTGCCAGAAGAGTGCCCAATGCCAGGTACATTGAAGAGATGAGCACTGCAATGACTACAAACACACCATCACACTGAACAATGCTTACAATCCTGCAATCTGAATATCTCGGCCTCTCTTTACTGACACTCTTGGAAATCATTACAGTGTTCTATAATTAACACGTCTGAAAATGTAGGCTGAAAGAAAGATGAAACTACCAGGATGGTACAAAATTCTTAACTGTCAAATGCAATGTCTCAGAAATTGGTCAGGCTATTAAATTTATTGAATACAGAGTGTCTGGATGAAATTTATCCAAAATAAAATAATTATATCTCAGAAAGCTTTTATTATACACATTTGTGGGTTACACCACTACAAAGGGAAACTATTAAAAGTTTTTTCTGCGTATATAACTTTCTCAATAAATTTCAACGTGGGCTCCCTTGGTGGCACAACAAATATCCAGATGATATTTGACCTTGTTCCACGTTGCTTGAAGCATGTTTGGTGTTACCATAGCCACAGCATCCCTTATGTTGGCTTTCAGGTGTTGCAGGTCATTAGTATTAACTTGGTAGACAAGTTCTTCACATAACCCCACAAGAAAAAATTCAGTTGGGTTAAATCTGGTGACCTGGGAGGCCAAGCGATTGATCCACCTCTTCCGATCCATCTCCCAGCCATCACTCTGTCCAAGTGATTCCTAACATGGTGGCACATGCGTGTAAGCTGGGCATGGAAAATGAACTTACAGGGTTTTCCTTTCTGATGACATAAACTGGATACGTGTATTACTTTCTGAGATATAAGTTTTTATTTTGGACACCTTTCATCTGGACACCCTATATGAAAAGTACTTAAATATGAATTCAATATATATTGCTTAAAAATTATTTCTTTGTGAGAGATCTAGTAAAATAAACTACAATATTACACAAATGAATAAAGCACCATATAAAATACAATGATACCATTGTAATAAACTTTATGGCTGCTCAGTTTCAAAAAGAATGGAAGATTCATCTCTCTAAACAAAAAATTTCAGATTACACAGACTGTTTAACCTTTTCAACAGTTATTTACTCTGACTAACATATGGATTTCAATGTTCCAACCCACACAATTCTTGCCACATTAAAAGAAAACGGTAAAATTAAATTTCAGTTAAGAAAAGTTTCCTATTAATTTAGAACTTAGCATGCAGTTCATCCAGAAATTAAAACGGAGCACAATAAGTGGAGCAATTTTCCATGACACAAACCTTGAACTTTTCAAGAAAAATTCTATAATGTGTCCCTCAAAACACAGTAACAAACTGTTCAGACAGCAGTGTCTAACTGCTGTGTGAACAGTATGGGAGACAGAACACGAAACTTGTGCAAAAAATTAAAATACAGAATTAACTTCTGTTCCTGTAGTTTTTGTTAATATCTTAAACATGGACATCTGAACTTATTGCCGAGGGTGGAAATTTGCATACCTTAATTATCACCATATACAGGGAGGAAAGATGAGATAAGGAAATGAACATTTAATTATCAAGCATTGCATTTTGGCCATTAGTGCACGAACACTGCATACTGTCAGTGTACAAAATGTTAGTTAACCCTTTGCTCCTCCAATTATAACCTGCTATCTCCATGGTACAGAGTACTGTTACGTGTATGTGTGACTGTAGACGGGGTGTGAATGATAAACTAAACCAGTACATTAAAGACTGTACACATTTTATTCACGGGCCAGGTTAGTGCAGTCAGTATAGCGACTAGCTACTGGCTGGACAAGTGAGAGGTTCGAGTTTTTGTCCCGGTGGAGTCACAAATTTTAACTTCTCCACATCGTCCAGACCAGCTCTGGGCTCCACCCAACTTCCTATCAAAGGGGTACAGGGGCTCTTTTCCCAGGGGTAAAGCTGCCAGGCGTGAAGCTGACCACTCACCTCCAGCTAGTGTCGAGACCAAGAAAATGTGGATCTATACATCCATTCCCCCATATGCCTTCACAACCTAGTGCTTAATTAGTTAAGCATAGGGACAACTTTACCTTACCACAATAAAATCAGAAAACCCTTGTTCCTTCAAACATACTGTGACATAGATGGCGTAGTGGGAGGTGGGGGTCACGTGAACTCTGTGATCCCGCTAGTGATGTCACAATATTAATATCCCAGAGAGTACTATATTCTGGAATGTGACACCACATAGTCTGGTAGAAACTTACTGACATTTTGGAGGAACATATTGCCTCTATCTTCCTGGCAAAAGAACTAGCCAAGGAACCAGCAGAGCTCTGGTATTGCCAACCTGCATCTTGCTTGCTTTGCATACTCTGACTCTGAAGAAACATCCATAAACTTCCAAAAGATTACACAGCATCACATCCCAGACGACAATACTTCCATAGTCGCCATCATGAGAACCTCAGATTCAATATAGTAAAACCTCATTTACAATTCAAAAAGCCAGCAGAAACCGGGCTGATAGCACTTCCTAGTAGTGTTGTAAATGGAAAAAGCAAAGGGCGAAATGTACACTGCAATATCACTGTTCACTCATATACACACCAGTCACCTGACAACAAAATCACACTACATCGCATTATCGCAATTTGCTGTCTGAGGTGTTTCATCTGAACATGTGATGAAAAGTTTATTACACAAATATACGATGCCCTTATGCTACAGCAGGACACCAATTTGACATGTAAATATACAGAATTTGAGAGCGAATAAAACCAGGCCTAAAATAAAGCTCTCTCCGTTCTTCTCAGTGGTATCTGCAGAATGTCTACAGTGAAAATGAACATTCTACTACAGTCAAAATTAGTACTAGTACGAAAAATTCTCTGACCAATTAATATTTATATTATAATAAATGTTTTATGGAGACAGAGTTTGAATTCAGAATTCAATGAAATTTAATACTGGTGGCTGCTAGTACAATTTAGTGGTTCGGATGCATGTAATTTTAAATTACCAACCCCCCATCTACAGGAAGATGGTGAAAAATAAGAATTATTCAGTAGGATACTGAAATTTATGTGCTTTTTTTCTTTGTACTTCAAATCTGAGCCTTTAAAACCTTTGCTTTATAATGGGGAGTGAATCCTGTTGTGTGTTATAAACAAGGTAGATATAATGTATACAAAAGTATAAAATTTTTTAAATGTTATTATTTGAGTATCTTAAAATTTTAACTGAAAGACTCAATTTACACATTTAAAAAACACTCAAGTGCACAATTACGATCCTTATTGAAGAATCAGATGCCAATTGCTAGAAGCAATTCAACAACTGAGTCTGATATCATTGTACACCTGATGATGACCCAGTATAAGGGTAGAAACATGTAACATCAATAAAAACAAATGCTGATATGATAGTGTCTACTTTGTTTTAAATGCAGAATATTTTTGTGTAGAATGCACACTTTTGTATACATTTTATGTACCTTGTTTATAGAGAGTGAAGTTGTCACTGTAACACTTTAATACTACATTCTGAACTGTACAAAGCATAATTACAGGCCTCAATGTTGTGTATCTTATAACTGACGTGATATTTCTCCTGAAAATGAAAGCTGAAAATATATGTGCAAAAGTAGTTCTTTCAAGCATAGAATCTGTGTACCATTAATATATGTGAAAGTACAAATTCTGTCAGATCTAAGATAAAAAATTAAACATTTTTACAGCATAACAAAATCTGATATTTAATATCTAACTTTCTTTTCTACTGCAGTAGTCACCCCTTTTCAACTTTTATCTAACACAAAACATGCACTCTAGGACTACCATGCTTTGTATTTCTTAGATAAATTAGTCAAAGGAAAAGAAAGTAACTGATTGACCCATAAATCAATATTCTGACATTTATGACATGTTTGATGAAAGAGAGTTAAGTCTCATATATCATATATAAGAACATTTCAAAACTTTTAAACTGAACTGAAAAAATAAATTAACTCTTTTTGTTTAATTGTTTCATTTTTTGGTCCGTTACACTATCAATCACAAAGTCAATAGAAAGTCCGTCGAGTGTAACAATTTGTAGGTCACTTCTTTATCACTTCTGCCTTACATGTTTCGGTTTAACACAACCATCATCAGAGGCACATAGTACAATCATGAAAACACTGTCGTTGTTTAAGATGTACACAGTTATGTTTGCTGCGTGGACGCTGCTACAATATGTCGACGTGTAAAAGCACAACACTTGCTAGGATTGTTGAATGCACTATCAATTGTGTGTACACACAACTACACAACACACAGCACATAGGAAACATCTAGCCATAAGCCATACAACCTCAAGCTGACATCTCCCATCTTCGGGATGAATTAACAAGGAGGAGCTTAACATTTTACATCAAATGTTTTAAATTTTTAAATTTTTTAAATATTTTAACATTGGCGTTTTAACTTGAGGGCAGTTTCGGATGGAATGTGAGAATTGATAGTGCATTCAACAATCCTAGCAAGTGTTGTGCTTTTACACGTCGACATATTGTAGCAGCGTCCACGCAGCAAACATAACTGTGTACATCTTAAACAACGACAGTGTTTTCATAATTGTAGTAAGTGCCTCTGATGATGGTTGTGTCAAACCGAAACATGTAAGGCAGAAGTGATAAAGAAGTGACCTACAAATTGTTACATTCGACGGACTTTCTATTGACTTTGTAAATTAACTCTTTGTATCAAATATTTTCTCATTAATTTTAATGATACCTTATGACACTAACCATGTTCCATTTGTCAACTTTCGATAACTGCTAGAAGTGATACGTATGAACAGAACATTTGGTGTAAGATTGTTTCTCCGCTGATCCAATATCTTCATTTAGATTCACAAAACCAGTGATAGTTACGAAAGTGATACTATTTTATTTTAGACAGCCTAACTGAAAATGCTTCATTAAAGGCGGAAAAAACACTACTTAAGATTATGAGCTTCTGGGATGGGGCACCTTATAGTTTGGCAGCTAGGTACCTATGTTTCACAGACACCTGATACTTCCACCTTCACTTTTCTATCGTGACAGACATGGGCAACAGGTTCTTCTGAAATGTTGGCACCACGTACAAAACTAAATGACATCACTTCCCAGAAGGCTGTTATCTTAATCCTTTCCTTGTCATATACGACATGGCCTTCATTTGAGAATTTCCCTTGTGTGTCATTTCCAACATTTCCTGCAACCACTAACCTCCAATCAGTACCTGATATATTCTCCAGCAACCTGCTACTTATTATAGCTTATTTTCATTCCTGTGAAAGAACCTACATGGCAGAAAATGGCTTTCTACTGCTGATACAATCAGAAGAAGAAGAAGAAGATGACATTTTGAACAAAAGAAAATGAACAGGACCCACCATGACAACCTCAACCCTTAAAACACATTTTTTTACCTTAAAACAGGTCTACAGTTCAATTTAAAACTGTCTACAATAAATCCAAGAATCCCCCCCCCCTTCCTCTAGCAGTCCTAGGGTAACATCATTGATAACATATCATCCAAAGTACAGACACACTGCTCTAAATAATGCAGTTACAACAGGCTCAACAATATCAATGATATTTTTTATGTACAGCATTCCCATATCCACAAATTGCTTCTACCTGAAAATTATGTTTAGTCAAATAAGGCAACACTTCAAGATGCCAGTTTGCTTTCAGCAGGCCTTAAAAATAATAATTTCAATCAAATATCAATGCTGACATTATGGTAGTTTCATGATACATTTTAAGAATGAGACTCGGGTATAAGAAGACATAACATACAAAGACAGATTTTCCTTATATTTTGTTCTACGAACACAATTTTCCACATGACCTTCCTACTCAAGCAGCCAAGTAGAATAAAAGCTGAACATTCTATGTGTAACACATAAAACAGAATTTTTATGGGGATATCAAATTTCTCAGTCTGTCCAAAAATAAACATTAACTTCATTTAAAATATTTTTACAGGCAAACTTAAATTTGTTTCAGATTTGTCTATTACAACCCCCCATATAACAGACTTCCCACATCACATTTCATCCAAATTCATCACGTAATATGGAAGATGTACCAAGAAAACAGATGGATACAACTACATAATTATGTGTTCATCAGGTACTGAGCCTATGGAAAGCATAATAAAACTATCCTTGAAGGCTTGAACTACTCCTAACATTCCTTTTTTCTTCCAGTGAAATCATACCCAGTTCCATGCTACCGAGGCTGCAAGTGGGCCCAGCGTACTACGCCCACATGACATGCGAGAATGGAACACTGGTGGAATGACAACTGGCAGGCCTAAACCAAGAGTGCAAGGAGCAAAACCTGTACCCATGTCACCCTGTCCACCACAAATCCCATATGTACTGCCATGAGATTGAACACAAGCACCCACAGTGAGAAACCAGTGACTGAACACCTGAACTATGGCATGCTGTCCTGACATCCTTTGAGAAGAGCCTTCTAATTGTGTTCCAGATCTTATACATATCCATGCTCAGACTGGACTTCACATAACCAATCTTGGGTAAGACACATTCATGGATGCTATCAAAAATGATTCATACATGATAAAGAATGTGTAATAAAATTCCATATTCCAAACAAGATGTACAGCGTACATAAAAATATAGCTAGCTTCTTTTATCATCACCCAATACATCAATCAGGAATTACTCAGAACATGAATCTCTTCCTTCAACAGAGGCAAAAATGCATAAACCATTCACTTTAAAGTAATTTTTTTAATGCTAGTGGGGTGGGACAAAGTTCCTTGTACTGCAGCCACTTCTGGCCTATCATACCAGCCCCAGATGATAGGTGAGGGTGATTGTGGAGCAACTGGTGGAATGAAGATTGGCAGGGGAAACCGAAGTACTCAGAGAAAACCTGCTTCAGCACCACTTAGTCTACCACAAATCCCACTTGACCAGACTTGGGATAAAATCCGGGCCGCCGCGGTTGGAAGCCAGCAGTCAACTGCTTAAGCTATGGTGTGGCCATACTTTAAAGTAACACCTCATGTATCAATGAATCCTTCATCTTGTATATGAAGTCATGACTCACGACGTCTTTGCTCCTCTCTCAGAACATTGCAGACTGTCTGTTGAGAGGGATCTAAAAATAGCCAGGCTATTGTGTAGTTAATATAATCTGAGATACTCGTTTCCACTCTGGCACGTCTTCACTGCTACAAATTAAGTATGTGGATTTGCTACCATAATCTTGCAATTCAAACTCAGTCTTTGTGTCATTAAATATATGCACTGCAATATAATCAACAGCACATCCATAATTACTCAGACAAGCAAGACAAACTTGGATATCTGGAATGGATTTTATACTATTAACTATCAAGACAAAAATACCTGTCTCCCATTCAGACAGCCTTTGGTTTGATATCCAGCCACATCTGTGCATGAGTCTATCTGTGTGATTACTGAAGATTACATCCATCCTGAAGTTTCCAGCATCACAATTTGTATCTCATATTAACCTCTTTTATTCTTCTCGGTTGCCCACCGCTATCACGTAATTCTTCTTCTTCTTCTTCTTCTTCTTCTTCTCCTCTCTTTCTTCCTCCACTCTCAATGTTTCTACTTTTATGTGGGTCATCTGACCATCTTGGCATAATACTAGCACACAGAAGAACAGAACTTTCCTCATGGGAACGTCTGCCTTACGAATCATCTCTTCACCTCACGAGCTGAACACTGGACAGAAAGCTGAATAACATACTAGCAACTCTCTGTATCAGCAGCACAAATACTGGCAGTTCTATATAATATAGCTGCCAACCTACAAATGCACTGTTCCTTTTCTTGAAACCAGTTAAGGTCAGCCATGTTTCAGACAGGAATCAAAAATATCACATTAGCGTACCCAAATGCACTAGTAATGTAACTGCACTGACATCACAGTAAAGACAGAACATAAAAGCATGAGCCATTCTACCCCATGATCCACTAGAGCTGCAAGCATCCAGGTACTCAAACCCAAGATAAAATTGAGACAAAACTAGGATGGTCACATATCAGACACTCATATTAGAGGTACCTGTTCAATGCCTGTACAATACTCATAACACATCTAGTGGTTACAGATATCTCCACCATTGCTGTTTCATCCTCCATGTCTGAAGAATTCCATTACTGTAACACATTGACCTTCAACATTTTTCCAACAGCATTTCTGAACAAAACACTGTGCTGATGGTTATCCATCCTTGTCTTGCACACTTCAAGAAGTACATAGTTCTATCATCTTGCTGGTAAATGGCTTATAAGGTCTAAAAGTCACTAAATAAGTTTTTATTTTAAACTGGTGACATCTTGGATCAGATAGCTAGCAATGCATATAACAATCTGGCAGTGAAAGCAATCAGAATGTATGACAGACTGAATATCTCAAAATAATTATAAACTAAGTCCCTGATTCTTGCAGGTTTGAGTTGCATGAATCCCTACATACATAGATACATAAATACATGTTTTAAGCTTTATCTATTGACCAAAACAAAAGTATATGTAAAAGAGAACAGACTTTAAACAGTGTTGGACTTACATACTTTTCATCTTATACAGAAACCTTCAGCACACAAATTAACCATGTGAGTTGGTGAGTTACTGTATTTGCAAAGGTAACACAACCTATAAAAAATCATGCCCTTAATGCATAATATTATCAATTTTGGTAATTCCATACGGCAGAAATAGCACATATAAAGTGTCAAAGACGTAAGTTGCATATTACCAAGTAAATATAGCAAAATATTCATTCAATGGGGCTCATCAACTGTAACCATTTATGCGATATCCATTAACTTTTTATGGTGAACGGGTGCAATCCCCAAGATAAAGCTAAAAAAACAGAGAACCACCCCTTGTTGCCTGGATGTTCAGTATATTTATAGTCACTACCATAAATCATAATTACTTCCCATAAACATGGTTTCAAATGCAAATGAATTATTTAAACGACACCTTTTCTTCATGTTTAACACTCATGATATTTCCTTTAGGAATACTTCCATAAGCTCTAAGGCTCCAATTTATCACAGATCTCAAAATGGAGATAAGCCCACCAAATTCCAAATTAAGATTCAGTATCTTTTGGTCTTGTTTCATTGAGGCAAACTTTATATCCAATTCTCAGTAAAATAAACACCTGATAATACAGCAGACAAGTGGGAAATGTATGACTTACCTTGGCCGGCACCAAGAGCTCCGTAGACACCCAAATAAAGGTCTCTTTTGCTTTCATCTACTGTCCCGTTCACACTGACATTTTTATCGTTTGACCACTCCGAAAGCCACACATTTGAGCCAATTGAGAAAGCTTGAAAAACCATGTTGAAAAATATTGTTGCACCAGAAAGGAAGAGTCCAATACTCCTGAGGTAATGGGAATAAACACGCCATTTCACCTGTGAGGAAAACATTATAACAATGTAAGTACTGTTGAAAAGCATTGACTGAGGGTGTTTGAGAACAGGGTGCTGAGGAGAATATTTGGAACAAAGGGAGATGAAGTGACAGGAGGTTGGAGAAAACTGCATAATGAGGAGCTTCATAACATATACTCTTCTCCAAGTACAATTAGAATATTCAAGTCAAGGATGATGAGGTGGGCAGGTAATGTAGTATGAATGGGGGAGAAGAGGAATGCATATAGAATTTTTGGGGAAAAGCCAGAAAGAAAGAGACTACTAGGAAGACCAAGACATAGGTGGATGGACAATGTTAAAATGGATCTTAAAAGAGAGACAGGATGGGGTGGTGTTGACTGGATCAATCTGGCTCTGGACAGAGACTGTTGGAGAGAGATTCTCACAGTAGTTAATAATACGGTTACGGTAATCTCGGATATGAGGCTGTGTAGTCAGTTACAGAGAAATCAGCATTTTGAAGGAAGCAACTTCTGTACTGGAGGAGGCAGCAACAGGCTCCTTCGAAACAATGGTACCTACCTATCAGACTAATGTCACATCCCAGAAGACTGTGATCTTAAACACATCTTTTAGTTCCCTTAACTCATGTGCAGTAAAAATCAACATGCAGACAGGTGGACGATCACCTACACACCTTGGTTTTCATGAGACGACGCTTTCAGTATCTCCATTTTCTCTTCAAGTATTTCATATACACTGAACCCTTGTCAGTCATTGACAAAAACAACTTCTTACTGACCCCCCCACCCCGAACTACTCGTACAAACACTATGTAGGATTTGAAGTTCTCACAACAGGAGTTATGAACAATTCCATCTTCTGGGATATAATATCATGTAGTCAACTGAAAGTCAACCAACGTTTTGGACAATGTGCTGCTTTCAGGCTGGTTTCATGCTTGGTTTATTCTTTGACCCTGTAGATGGAGGTTACAGTTTCTCCAAAACATCAGTTGACTTTCATCGGACTACATGTACACGGTATCACATCCCAGAAGACAGAACTCCAAATGATATCACAGTTAGAGAAGGCTGTAAATTAAGTTAATATTTTTTCATCTTTCTGCTAGTAATCCTACCACATTGGTAACTTCAGAAAAGAGCATGCAAAACTCCTTCTCATTGTGGGTACATGGGGAAAAAGAATTTCTGCTTTATTTTAGAGACAATATAAAAAAAAAACAGAAGAATCTACAGGTACAAATGAGTGATGATGAATCATGGCACTGTATTAAATCCTTACAAAGTTGCATTTCTTACAGTACAAAACCCAAACAAAATAATTAATAAATACACAAAGCTGGCACAAATATAACAAAGCTATAAACATGGAAAAAGATGCGATCCATCAACTTACACTTCCAGTTTCAGCCTTCTCAACTTCAATTAGCTTATCTCCAACAGGTTTCGCAACACAGTTAGAATTAGAGCCGGTGCCTTTGTCCAATGAATTCAGTCTACGCAGAGAGCCCGACTTTTCTGTGCTGCTTTCTACCGAGTGTTGCCTGAAAAATAAATCAGTACCGATGTCATGACCACAGCTCCTTCTCCTCCCCCTCCTCCTCCTGGTATGTAGAGAATATAGTAGCCATGCAAGTTGGATCCACCAGTGAGCTTCTGGCTTGTATTCAGGAGCTGACCCATCCACACTGGGTTACTTTGTGCTTTTCCTCAGCCCCTCCAGTCAAATGGCAGGACAGAAACAGCCATGAATGGTTCCTTACAGATTTGTCCCAACTCGTTATTCACTAATAATCCTACCATTCAATGCTACATTCTGTGCTACTGACAGTGTCATTATATAAACTGTATAAATGACAATAGGCAATAATCAGTAAAATATATATACATAGTGTTTCACGACTTCAGGCCATAACTGCAGGAGGTGATTTCCTAGGTCTTTGTGATCAAAAAAGTTCGTATAAACATGTGTCCGATTTTGGACGGTTACGGAGTTATGACCATTTTAAACTCGGAATAGAAGGTAACGATTACTGACAATAAACGGAACAAAATAATAAACCAGCATAATACATGATACATTTAAAGTATGAATGTAAAGTTAACTACATGAAATTACCTTTAATTTGAATTTATTGGTGCTTAAAGCTGATTTTCAAAAATGCCACCGCCGGCCGCAACACAGGCTGCCGCTCGGTTTGTGAACCGTGTCAGACATACAAACCCACCCCGCCTTAGGTACCTCTCAAGTGTCGAGATAACAAGAATGCTGTCTGCAACTGGCTAAAAATAGCGACCTGCCAGCTGACAGATGCAGTTCACACGAGGGTGTGTACAGGAATGAAAAAACGGTCATAACTCCATAACCGTCCAAAATCGGACACATGTTTATATGAACTTTTTTGATCACAAAGACCTAGGAAATCACCTCCTGCAGTTATGCCCTAAAGTCGTGAAACACCCTGTATATATACAGGTTTTAAAGTGCAGATGACATGTTTCAAACACACAACTTCAAGAAATTCACTTTCTTTTTCACCTCAAAAATAATTAACTGCACAGACAAAAATTTATATAAGTATCCATTCCATGAATAACCTGTCCAAAATATTTCTGGAGCTGCTCAATTTGTATTCAAAATCAGATTTGGGTATTTTAACCACTGTTGACCAATATCTTGTTTCATAGACACATTTTCAAAAGGACATTGGACCTAATTTGATCAGATGCAGCCATCCAGGAGCAAATATAGACAGCCATGATTTGTAGTGTCCCCACTGAGATCTGAGCCAGGCACCTCTCGATTACAACACAGAAGCATTACCATGTGAGCAACCTTGCTCAGTGACAGAGATGCTAGTGCTTTATGTGCTATGTTTAAATTTNATGATATCGGTACAAAGTGTTAACATTCTTCAAAGTACGGTCCATGAGCATCTACACATTTTTTCCACCGAATCTCCCATGCCCGGTACGCCCCCTGAAAGGCCTCGATGGGAACCTCATTTAAAGCTGTTGTCACGGCCGTTTGGATAGCCTGAATGCTTTCAAAATGGCGTCCTTTGAGTACATTCTCAATGAGGTTCAATTTCCACACATTTCTTCAATTCACTCGTGATCAACACTCGATTGGCCTTTTGCTGGTCCGTCAACAATTTGGGGAACAGCTTGGCACACACCTTTCGCATGTTCAATTCATCCATAAAGATGCGATGCACAACGGTTTTTGGAATGTTCAGAGTGTCAGCTAACAAATGGACAGTCATTCGACGGTCAGTATTCAACAAATCACGCACATGAGTCACATTTTCATCGGTTTGGCTTGTTGATGGCCGTCCAGAGCGGGGGTCATCTTCCACTCCTTCCTGACCCTCCTTAAACTTCTTCACCCACCTTGTAACTTGCACATATGATAGAGAAGACTCCCCATAGGCTTGCTTAAGCAGTTCGTGAGTTTCGGCAGCTTTTTTGTTGAGCTTTGTGCAGAACTTGACCGCCCAACGTTGTTCGAAAGTATCCGCCATCGCACGCCGTGACGTGGTCACAAAACACAGGTGCACTAAATCAGCGATACTGACGCCTCTGATGCTCGAACAGACTGACTTTTGGCTCGCTGTGAAGCTAAAGGCCTCCCCCTCCTAACCCAACCAGTTCCAGCACGCTCCAACCAATAGGAGCGCGGGAAAGAAATATATTTCATGACTTTTGGGACACACCTTGTATTATGCTCATCAGTATTCTAGGAATATCCATAATGCAAGAATATACATCAAGTTCTTTGTTATGAAACCCAGCATTTTTAGATCTGATTTTTTTGAATGAGTTAAAGAAATAACTTTCCAGTTTTTTTTACATATCCTGAGCTGGAATGGTATTTCAAAGATACTTCTCCCTCCATCTGCAGGATATTAGAAGGCTCATAGTTTACTGCAATAAAATAATTGACACGCGTTAATTTTGTACTATATTTACATGGCATATGGTTAAACAATGGGATACACCACCAAAGGCCCCTCAAGCATTAGTCTGTTCAACCATGGACATTCAAGATGTCACCACTAATGTTTAAGACCTCTGAAGAAAATCAGTCCTTGATTAAATATGATACCTTTTCAAATTCTGATACATTCTGGTGACAAAAAAAAACATGATAGCGAACACTCATAACATGACAACTCACCTGTGAAGTGATTCTGATAATGATCTTTTTTCACCCGAGAGAGAACCTATGTCACTTTGACTTTCAGACACTCTAGATCTTGCCCGATTAAGTTTCTGCTGAAGTTCCTCTGTACCAATTGTATTTTCTAACTGTTGTTTAATTTCATCCAAGTCTGAAACAAAATATATTACCATACAGTCAATATCAAAATGTTCTTAAGCCCTGATACCATACCCAAATTTGCTTGTACCCACAGTTCTTAATAGTTCTTAATGTGCCACAAGTATGACAGGTACTGACAGAAACATCCTGTACTCAGTTCTACAACACAGCATTCCAGAATATTAACATATAAAATCACATTTTACTAACATGTCAATAATACAACTTTAAAAAGACATTAGGAATATGTTGTTCACTAAAAATGCATCTTAATACTATGACAGTTAAAATCAATAATATGCCCATAAGCTATTATGATAGCATATAAATTTACACATTAAAAGTGAACGTCCACACTCCTCAAGTTTTCTTGGTTTTACATAATTTATCTTCACAACATGTTTTGGCCTCATTGGGCCATCATCAGGTGAATTCTATCCTTGAGTTAGACCACTGCACTGTATTTGTTTCCTGTGCTTCTCTCATGCACGTCGTTATTTACTTCATGCTAGTTGTTAAATTTAATTTTTATCCAGCTATTTTGTGGCTGTTATGGGTTTGTCGTTGTGTTTCCCTATGTCAGTGTCACCACTGTGGTCTGCCAGTAAACTGTATACTGGCAGACCACAATGGAACACTCATTTACTACTGGGTTACAAACTATTTCTATTGTAACTGATCAATTAAGATTTTAACTCACTCATATATTCTATACCATTGTATATACTTGAAAGTTTAGCACTGGGACTTATATTTAACATGTGATTCAATAACGAAAGGTTTAATGTATATGCCTGATGAAGGCCTTATAGAAGACCAAAACATGTAGCAAAGGTATCATCTAGAGCTGCTTACAAGTGTTATTGATGTTGTGTTGTGACGGTTTTCAGTAAGAAATAATATTTCTATTCCACATTCATTTTCCCATTCAAACATGAGACCAACACTAATATTCATCTACAAAACTAGATTGTGTTACAACCCAGAAGACCATAATCTGAAATTTAGACAAAGCTTTTACTCTCAACATAGTGCCTACTGATTTCAGAATGCTTTAGGACACCGACACTGCACCTGTCAGAGCCTGTCCTCTTCCTGCCCCATTCATCCTTCTACTTTTTATCCTTTGTCCCTTCTGCTTCTTCATTTTCATTCGCGATCCTCTCAGCAATGCTTTCTTACAAACTATGACAACAGTAACCACTAACTTCTCCTATGTCATTCAATTTAAGAAGCACGCATTTGCTACTCTTACCAGCTTCTGATGTGCCATCATCACCATCAACTTCCGTCAGGTGTTGAACTAGGAATTCTGCAAATGCCCCCTTCTTCTCTAGTAGCTGCCTATATGTGCCCAGCTCAGTAACTTCACCATCTTTCAGAACAACAATTATATCCACATCTGGCAAATAGGTGATTCCATGTGTCACCAACACTCTTGTCTACGACATAAAAAAATGCATTAATTTCATATAAAAGTAAGAAAACATGTATTGTTACAGTCTTCTCAAAACTTATAAAAGTATATTAGGCCATTTTTCTAATACAAGGTGTCCAGAAATTTACACCTGTAATCTCCAACATGTAATTCCTTGATGGAGTTGAAACTGTCCATTGACAAAAATTTAAAATGAAACCATTTTAATGAAGAATTTACTTAAAGCTTTGTAAGATTTGAGGTATTCACGGAGGCGACTATGAAAAATGCCGTCTTCTGGGATGTGGTGCCGTGTAGCTCTTGTGTGAAGTTTCAGAGGAACTTATCTCCTCCATCTTCAGAGCAGAAAAATCCGCGAGCGAGGAACCAGTCTGCAGTCACCAGATCATGCTAGTTCTTCACTTGTGGATTTTCTGCCCTGAAGATGGGGGAGATATGTTCCTCCGAAATGTCGGTTCACACAACATCTACACAGTGTCACATCCTTGAAGACAGCATTCTTCTTACTTAAAGCTGACTGAGATGTGGGAATATGTATTCCCTGAAAATTCTGTATAAGACAAAATTTTATCAAGGGAATTTTCATTGCAGACTTCATCAATGAATGGTATGGTGGAGTTTGTAGGAGCAAATATCCAGACCACACTGCCGCATCTCATTTTATTAAAAGATTATAAAACAAACTCCATGGCCTGTAGTCTGCAAGCGAACTATACTGACCAACCGGTCACTGTTTGTTGGCGAAGTTAGTGCCAACTTTAGCAGATAGAGGGTGTCATGTGGTCAGCACGACGGATCCCCACGACCGTTAATCTCGGTTTTCTAGACATACTCAAAGATTACATATCAGCGAATATTTATAAAGGGGCAGTTTTATCTTAACATTCATCAAAAAAACACTTGGAGGAGTCCATAAACATAAATTTCTGGAACACCTTGAACATTCCTTCTCCTCTGACATAACATATTCAAGTTGCCTTTCCTAACATTCTTTAGCATCTGGGATCATATTAATTCTTACCTTTACAATTGAAACTATAACTAATTTTGTAATATTGTGATCTTCTGGGTTAAAATACGTGTAGTTTGGCTTTCAGGCAGTATGCTCCTTGAATACACTGGCACGCAAATACCAGACTTCTTGGCATTAGACTCCAGAAGATTTGCACCATTATAAATTCAGATCTTATTATTTTTCAAACACTGTTTCAGTATATAATATGAATAACATTAGACATTGGAAGTAAGATATGAAGCCATAAAGAAATAACATCAAATGTACTGCATGAATTACTGTAGTTACATGCACAATGTACCCTCATTGGGTTCTGCAGACGAAAGCATACAATTTTATTTTTTAATGCATAACGTTCTGCCACTTATTTGTCATTATGTTGTTTACTTTTCATCATAAACCCCAAAATAGCTCATTGCAGGACAAAGGCACATTAATCCAACCTACAATAGCATTTATCTGCTTCTGTTAAGAGTTAGTCCCTTCCTTCTTTATCAGCACCTGCAGACATCTGGCCCATCTACAATAATACATGTATTTTTCATAAAAATAGCTACTGTTTTGGAAGGATAAGACATCGATTCTAAGAGCAACAGGCTAAAAAATCACATGCCAATACAGGTATCAGTATATATTTGGGTTCCTGAGCTAAAAAGTGTGATTCTACTATATGAGTACATATAATAATTTCATAACAGAATTTAAACCAAATATTTTATTGAATTAAATTGATTAAATATTATCAGAACTGACAAAAAGTTGCACAGAACATAGAAATAAATGTCCTAGAAGACTCCTTTTTTTTTCTTGTTACATAGAATCAAGTAATCTATTCAGGAAATGTACCTGCCTACCCCCTATTTTGAGAGTGAAAACCAGCAGTAAAAGGGGAAACATTATAAGAGTAAATATAATAAGTTCTGTGTATGGTTATATATTATGTTCTGATACTATTCATGAAGCTTCACTCTGTGGTTTACCACACTCAATTACAAACAGAGTAATTGCTCCTTATAATTTCAGATACAATAGACAAAATCTGGCCATGTACAATTGTGAATTTTTAGAAATACTTAGGTACTAAGATGGTTTTGCAGTTAGAAACTACTGCAAATAAAGAGAACCCCCCCTCCCCATAACAACCTTTATGTAATCCCACTGTGTTTCGGTTTATTTCATATACTATGGTGTATTTCCATGACTACCCCTTCACTTGGTTATAGCAGACATCTGTTATGACAGACACACTGTCCACCTATTAGATTTACTGCACAACATCAGAGATAAAAGCATACCTTTTTGTGAAGCATGCCACTGGGCCCAATAACATTTTGAAAAATATGTTTGCCAACATGGCTATCTACTGCACTAAGGGGGTCATCCAGAAAATAAACGTCTGCGCTGTTGTAGACGGCTCGAGCAAGGGAAACTCGCTGTTTCTGACCTCCACTGAGGTTAATACCCTGCAATGTAAGCAAAATGCACAATTATAAACTTTACAAAACTGAACACCATGTGACAACTGTCAGGAGTCATTACAACTAGGTGAATATGATCTGGTACATAAAAAAGCATATGGCATGAAGCATCTGTTTCTTTCATCTTCTGACTCACATTTTTGTACACATATCCTGTGGCTTTTCCTCAGCACAGTATGCTGTCTTCACCGCCTTCCAGCACTAGGTTCAAGTTTCAGAAAGGCAATTTCTATCACTGGTCACATTTTTAATGTGAAACACCCAAACTTTTAGATTCAAAAAATTAAACTGCGAACTAATCTCCATCTGGGTTACTACCCTAATGTGGCGAGGACATTGCATATCCTGATCATCTGGAGAGCTACATCAGAAGGGGTTAGATCATCATAAGGTCACAAATGCCACATAAGTAAAACTGAAGGGGTAAAAGAAAGGCAGCCTCTGGTCCTCCAGGTTGGGGGTTGGGCACAAGGTAAACAACCTGACCTTAATATAACTTAAGAAACCTAACAATGAATAACACATGGATAATTTTGAAGAAAATAAAATTGAGAAAATGTTATAAGGGTAATGAATTATATCTTGCTACTTGGAATAAAGTGAAGAGTTGGAAACAAAAGGAGGAGGGGTGTCTGTCATAAAGGAGGCTACAGTTATTAGAAGAACATGGAGTCAGGGTGTAAGTAGAACTGCACAATAAATCACACGACAGTCACCAGGGTATTAGTGAAAATGTATTTTGATAATAATTCATACAACTAAATAATCTATGTGTAGAGAGCAACTGTGCTCTCTGGCTGCACCACAGCTAAAGCGGTTAGTCGCTGGCGTCCCGCCATGGCGCCCTGGGTTCAATCCCAGATCTGGTCAAGTGGGATTTGTGGTGGACAAAGTGGCACTGGGGCAGGTTTTCTCCAAGCACTTCGGTTTCCCCTTCCAATCTTCATTCCACCAAATTCTCCATCATCATAATCACTCGGGGGCAGGCTACAATACGCCAATCAGTGGCCGCCGTGCGGACCCAGTTGGACTCCACCCACCACTAAGCGAAACTGTGCTCTCTACGCATCTGCACATTTATTGCTGCTGCATATAATTCGTTATGATTCATATTATGCAAATTTTATTTTCAAGATCAAATCACTACCTTTTCTCCAATCTCTGTTTGATCACCAGCTGGGAGCATCTCCAGATCAGGTCTTAAAGCACAAGCCTCAATAACCCTTTGGTACGAAGCATGATCCATGGATCTTCCAAATACAATGTTATCCCTAAGTGTTGCATTCTGTATCCATGCCTGCTGTGGAACATAAGCAATTGAACCCTGAAAACAGAAGAAAAAATAGCATAAAAAGTGGAGGAAATTATAGCAAACTGGAGAAAACCATAAGATGATGTGTCATGATTTGTATTATTCACAAAATATTACTAGGGTGATTAAAGTGAGGAAGATGAAATGGGCAGGCCATGGGAAAGAAGAGACATGCATACCAAGTTTTGGTATAAAAACATGAAGGAAAGAGACCCCTTGGAAGACCCAAGGGTAGGTGGAAGGATATTAAAATGAATGTTAAAGAAATAAGATGGGAACATGTGGACTGGATTCATCTGGCTCAGGATATGGAGCACTGCCAGGTTCTTGTAAAAAAACCTAATAAATCTCTGGAGTCCATACAATGCTGGGAATTTCTTGGCTAGCAGAGAAATTATTGGATTCTCAAGGAATGTGCTCCATTGAGTTACTTTGTCAGAGGTAATTTTACCAATGTACAGACTTGAATGCAAAACTCTGTAATTTGAGGCATTAGTATGAAAAATATAAAACTGTTATAAAATATCACTGTAAAATAACTACAATATAATTTTCACTCAAGTGTTCATACAGTTTTCAAAATGTTGCTCTACATTTTATGATTAACAGATCATATTATCACAATATACAGAGTGTAACTGCAAGATGCAGACAAAATCTAGGGCACAAGTTCCATATACCAAAATAAGAAAAAATGTCCATATCAACATGTGTCCAGAAATATTTGTGAATAATAGCTCAAGGAATACATTTATAGCAGGTGTTCAAAATTACCCTGCTGGTGATTGTTTGGTTGGCCCGCATGTTTTGCCACACCAGCTTACAGACAACTGCTACAGAGATCTCCTCTTCCATGATCTGCCAAAGCTACTGGAAGACCATGGAAGTCAAACCACAAATGTGGTACATGCATGATGGTGCTCCGGCACATTTTAGCCATGCTGTACAAGATGTTCTCAGTAACACCTATCATGACTGATGAACAGGCAGAGGACCAACAAGATGGCCTCCACCCTCACCAGATTTTAACTTGTGGGCACACCTAAAAACTGTTGCGTATGCATCTCCTGTTGAAAACAAAGAGGCACTTAATCATCATATTGTGGATGCCTGTAAGCCTACCTGCAAAAGCGGATGTGGCAGGCCATGATAAGACATGTCAAGGTATGCACCGAGGACATTTTGAGGACTTGCTAAAAATGTACTCTTTCAGCTACAACTCACAAATTAAATGTTTCTGGACATGTGTTCATACTGCCATTTTGTCTTGTTTTGGTATGTGAAATTTGTGCCCAAAGTTTGTCTGCACCTTTCAGCTACACCCTGTATATGGTGTCACATNAAAAAAAAGCAGTTCGTTTAATGACAGGATATAGTAATAGGCATTCATGCAGAAATCTTTTTAGGCAGCTAGGAATCTTACCATTGAAGTCTCAATATATTTATTCAGTTTTGCTCTTTGTATCAAAGAATAGTAAACTGTTCACTACTAACCATGATGCACATAATCTCCAGACAAGACAGAGAAGTAATTTATATCTCCCAACTTCCACCTTAACACTGTATCAAAAAGGTGTTTATTTTACGGGTATAAAGTTATTTAATAATTTGCCTCTTGAAATAAAGGGGATGGTTGGGAAATACAAGCAATTTAAGATTTCTCTAAGAAGATATTTGATTACTCATTGTTTTTATGACTTGGAGGAGTATTATAGTGTTAATGAATGATGTTGTAAATAATGGTTTTAAATGAATTTGCATGTTATCTTATACTAATTATATGAGTCTATCTGCATAAAAGTTTTATTGTATTTATGATAATATTTGTTGCCATTTATATCATTTATTTATTTAATTTATTTATTTTTTGCTTTATATTTGTGACATGCTCTTTTGAGCTCTAATGATTTCTTAACTGTGTTTATGATTGTATTGTATTTTTATATTTTGTTTATATTGACATGTTCTAGTCTGTATTTTAACATGTTCTATATCCTATGGTTTGTAACCAGTTTTGTTGGATCTTCTGGAACTCGAAATAAATTACAATTACAATTACAATTACTTCAATTCTTCCATCTAGACAGCACTAAGACCACAGTCCTCTGGGATGTGACACCATGTAATTCAGTAGATAGATATGAATTTTCCATCTGCAGGGCCACAGTGACTTTAGCCCTAAAAATGGGAGGCAGCAAATTTCTCCAAAACATTGGTACATATCTACCAAACTACACGGTAACACATCCCACAAGACTGTAATCTCAATACTCGCCTCCATAACCTCAAAGACCATCTAGTAAAATATCTTTGACATTTCTATTTCCAGCTAGTACAGATTTCCAGTATATGAAAGCCACCAGACATATCCTGGCACTATCTACATATATGTAATTTTAAGGCACAAAAAAAAATTTTCACATAAAATCTGTAAATACATTTTTAATCTACCAACCCACCAATTTCACCTGCCAACCAAATTTTATGAGTACCCTTCACAAACAGAAAATCAGAAACCAATTTTGGGAATTAATATTGCCATTTTAAATTCCTTTTACAAGTGACCTCAAGTATTAATACATATTTTTCTGAGACCTATAATCATAGCCAATTTCACAGTCATACACTGAATAATGTTATTCCCAGAAGTTGACATAGTAAATTAAATAGTATTAACATGAACCTGCCTCAGATGTCACAAAAGTTCATACCAAGCCTAATGTATCAAAAGTTGCCAGTGATTCAAATCCATGCATACATATGACGTCTGCTTCTTTAAAAAATAGAAAGAAATGGGGAAAATGGAATCACAGTAACATTACCAAAGGCTAGCTCTCAATAACAACCTCTAAAATGCATTTACAGCCCTGAAGCACTTAATTTCCTTACATTTTTTGATAAGACGAGCTTCATGTCCATTTGTTTTGGACTTGTGAAATAAAATGTATGTACATATGTATGCATGTATGTAGAAAGAAGTTGGGAGGGGACTCAGCAGCATAGTTGGTTGAGGCACTATACTACAAGCCGGAAGATCATAGGATCAAATCCCAATGAGGTCATCAGATTTTTCACTTGACCTAATCCTTCCAGCCGCACTATGGCCCTGGGGTTGACTCAACCTCTAACAGAAATGAATACCAGGAATTTTCTTGGGGAGTAATGGGCGGCGGGTGCGTAAGGCTGCCAAGACTACCGCCATCTGTGAGTCGATTGTCTAGAAAATGTGGGAGCCTCAGCGTCTCACAACACTATGGGCCTTCACAGCCTGTTCCAGGGACAGCTTTATCTTTTCTTTTAACACAAAGAAGTGCTTCAGTCACTAAATTATGGGTATATGAATACACTTGTACTTTAGTGATTATGACACCTGTGCATTAAGAAATACCATGGCTTTTCTGTAGATTTTGGTTATTCTAATATATTAATATTAGTTTCACAACAGATTAAACAATCTATATTTTCCACACGGTGCAAGTGCTGTTCACTTTTAAGATTCATCAGCAAATAACATATGCTATATGACCTGGACACTGACAGCATTCAATAACCTACTTAAATTTTCTTTTTAAAAACTCAAGGAATGACAACTGAACAGGCACACACACTAAAGAAAAAAATTTAATGCTAACTGCTTGTGACATAATCTGTCAGGAAAGCTACTGAAAACTTAATGACATATAAGCACAACTTACTTTCAGACACATCATGTTGCACACTGTTGGGATCTAGTTCTTCAGAATTCATGAACTTGTTCATACGCTTGATGGAAACGCTTGCCTAGAAAAATTACACCATTCATGTATTCTTACATACATGACAAAAAGAAAGCTTTGTATTATTTGAACAGAAGCGTGTATAAAAATACAGTAAGCCTTTCTTTTTGCAGGAAGTATAAAATAAGCAAATCATATTAAGAGAATCTAACTTCCTGAAGTATATTTCAGTTCAAAGCTTTACTATATACAAATCACTGCATTCCTTGTTCTGCACAAGCAACATTCAATGACACATTTGGCATGCACTAGCATTTGTACTTTTTGTTTTTACTAGAAGAGGAAATGGGTGACTCAGATACATTTAGCTTTCTGCAATATTTATTCTCAACATAACAAAGTCCTTATGAATAATGCACACCTTCGTGAACTATGAACCGATTTATATCATAAAACTTAGTCAGAAACACAGTTCAAAAAAAATATGGCTAAATACAATGTCCAATATTCTTCCCCTGATTACATTCAAACTCAAGATACGTAAGATACCCTACCAATTTATGCCCAAAATGCAGTCAGCATATTTGAAATTTATATCAGAAGGGACAAAATGAATAAAAGATTTCTAAGTATTCTACATAACGACACTTTATTTTCTTCCTATTCATACATGCTTATAGTAGCACAGATGACTAAAATCTTCTGTGTATGTGTGTATATATATTGTAACGTGTCTGCAATCCAGGAGAGGCACTTCTATGGAAACACCAGAACAGACCGTTGCATAAGAGGTAACAATAGCGATACTGTAATTCCAACAGTGAGCCGTTGTACCGAGAACNTAACGCAACGAGCAAGCACTGAAGTATATCTGAGGTTATCACAGTGGTAACTATAAGGAGCACTCTCAGGTGGTATATAACTCAGTACTCAGGTATATCTTTTTGGATGCAATACAAATTACCATTTACAATATTCTTTGAACACATGAAGAAACTCTGTGACTTCTTACTTTAAGTGTTACTCCATGTTTATAAAGTTTCAGCTACTATATACTGCAACAGTGACATGGAGAACCACGCGCGGCAAAGAATGGGTGCTTCTGCTTGTGTGAAAATATATGATTCCCAAAGGTTTAATGAATCAATATGGAACTACTGGAATAAAGATGAAAGTATCTTGATCTACATTTTTGCAATCAACCGTACAGTCAGTACATTTCTTTAATCCTGAGAACAAGTACATAACTATGCTGAAGCAGTAAAGCAATGCAAGAGCAGTGCGCATAAGCTGCCCAGGCAAACAGCAATGCTTCTATGTGGAGCTCATATATGTCTATGCTTACCTGCACCATATTCGATATCAGCATAGGTAACATAGAGAGAGGGAAACGCAGAATATTGAAGAGTGACAGTGAGACGAATGCTGTCTTCGAGTCAAGAATGTTGTTTGGATCCGACAGGACAAACGTGGCAAAGGTGACCAATGACACCTAATAATACGAAAGGTAAGACAATACATAACACAAACTCAATAGAAATTATTACACTTGTTACACTGACCTGTATTATGGTGATGATAAGGAAAGGAAGTACGGATATTGGCATTCGAATGATATTGAACAAGGACAGAGAAACAAACGCCTTCTCTGCATCCAGAACATGAGTAGGATCCACCAGAACGTACGTGGCCAGAGAGGCCAATGCCACCTAAACATGACACGAACAATTAACATTCATAAAGAAAAAATTACACATACTACAATGACTCATGCAGTTTATAATAGATTCTCTTGTTACTGTATCAGCACGTTCTGAAACTTCTTAGTGTTACTGTAGGAGTTACTTAATTTACTGCAACCAAAATGAGAAAGAGAGTGAATGTGTTTTCAACTCATACACTTCCACCTTAACATTATCCATCTGCTTTAATAGGAATAGGAACTGTGTCTCGCACCATTCCCTTTACCCCACACATATATGGCTAGCATGAAAGAACACAGTAGGTGAAATATTTATATACAAATATTCAAAATACTGTATTTTAGCTATTGCAGTAGTAAAATCAATAACTTACTCTTCGTCATAAGCAATACTAACACTGCAGTTCAGACTTCAAAATATCAAACATTCTAAATAGTGTTACAAAATATTAATTTTAGACATGCTTCCAGCAGTCAGACTCACTGGATTCTGCTTATTAATTCTCAATGGAAATATGCTTAATTCATTATGCAAAATTTTTATAAGTTTAGGCTAAAACACTTAAAATACAAAGTAAAACCCCACTGAAATGCTTTATCAGTCACTGACAGCAAAGTGCAATCATGTTTCTTCAAAGAAATTTTGTACATAAGATCATGTTAGAATAACTTGAATTTAAATTTCATTATCATCATCATCATCATCATTTAACTACTTAACTTCAGATTTTTCAAAAAGAAAGATACCATTTCAAAATTAAGTTTGTGCCCACAGGTAACAAGAGATTCCATTATGAAAAAAACATACATTTAGTAATATAAAATAAGTCATGCATTTCATACTCTGTTACTTTCAAAATTTACTCAAACAAACCCAGTCTCAAATGGAATGGATAAAATGCATAAGGTTAAGGTAAAGTTGGCCTTGTGCTTAACTAATTAAGCACTAGACTGTGAAGGCATATGGGGGAGAGGATGTATAGATATACAATTTTCATTTTATGCATCCTGTTGTGTTATTATATACAATTCTTTATTAAGTCCATCACAACACAACAATACAGTGTTCAAGGCTAAATTAGCTTTGCTACAAGTTTTGGCTATTCATAGCCATCATCAGGGAAATACACAATCATATTTACACACTAGTGAACTGCAATAGCATAGTAAGTCCGGATACTTGACAATTATCATACTATAAAACACATGGTATAAAAATTACAATGAAATATAAACTTATTATAAAACAAGAGTTATTTCGTAAAACAATGTTAAAACTATTCAAGTGATAATCTATATCACAAAGTCAGTCATTACAATCTTGTATTTTCTTGCAGACGTGGTATATTCTAGAATTTTGTATGATAAACTGTTTGGAGGCCCGTGAAGTATAGCTTTAACATTAATTGTTTGGTCGGTGCCTCATCGTACGATGTATTTATGTCCATTCTGTAGGGAATACATATTGCAACTGTATACTTCATGGGCCTCCAAACAGTTTATCATACAGAAGTCTAAAATATACAATGTCCATGGGAAAATACAAGATTGCAATGACTGACTTCATGATATAGATACAATACACTTGAATAGTTTCAACCTTATTTTATGAAATAACTCTTGTTTTATAATAAGTTTATATTTCATTGTAATTTTTATACTATGTGTTTTATAATATGATAACTGTCAAGTATTCACTAGTGTGTAAACACGATCATGTATTTGCCTGATGATGGATATGAATATCTGAATCATGTAGCAAAGCTAATTTAGCCTTGAAAACTGTATTGTTGTGTTGTGACAGACTTAATACAGAATTGTATATAGATATACATTTTCTTGACCTTGACACTAGATGAAGGTGAGTGGTCAGCTTCATGCCCTGGCCGCCTTACCACTGGGGAAAGAGCCCCTGGTACCCACTGGATAGGAGGTTGGGTAGAACCCAGAGCTGGTCTGGATGACATGAAGAAGTGAAAATTCTTGACTCCACAGGGACAAGAACTCCACCCTCTCAGTTGTCCAGCCAGTAGCCAGTCGCTATACCGACTGCACTATCCCAGCTCATGAATAAAATGTGTACAAACTTTAATGTACTGATTTAGCTTATCGTTCACACCCCGTCTACAGTCACACATACATGTAACAGTACTCTATATACCGTGGTGATAGCAGGACAATAATCCACACAGCCTTAATGACAGAGTGGATCTATGATCCACCTCAAGAACAAAACCTTTGTGTCACAAACACTAACATTTCTTTTGAATACTACTAACAAAAGTAAGTGAACACCCAGGAAACACAGCTAAAAGAATCAGAAGGGAAAACTGAAGAACCTCCCAAACAGAAAATATGTCTGTAACCCACTTTCCACAAAAGTCCTTAACCACTACCTTCCACATCTTTCCCAATTCATTCTTCACTAATCACAATCCAAACATCAGACACTAAATAATATAGATTATTTACAGTGCTGTTAAATAAACCACACATAAATACACAGTGCATAGCAGAGCCATACATAGGAATTCATTTGTTTTATTTGCATATAAATGAAAAATGCAAACATCACTTACTAATAAAAACCTGTGAATAAAATTTAGTGTAATTACTGATACAAAGTATTTTATATGCTGCTATGATAGAAGTAGGCCCTTCACAAGACTACCTGATGTACTACACCTCTCATGGAGGGAAAAAATACTCTGCTCAGTCACATTTTCACAATTTTGCACTAAGATTTCAGCTATTTCAAGTATGCCCAATTTTCAAAATTCTGTAGAACATGGAAAAGTCCTCCATCATTCTCTGTGTCTGAAGTGAACAATTTTCTATTAACCATTCTTTTTCCCTTATTAGTATGTTCTTGTTAGCACAGACAGAGAGAGATACTCAAACTAGAATATCTTGTTTGGATCAATATGCAATAGAATGCAAATAACAGTCATTACAATACATGAAGAAATAACAGTTCCATTGCTTTAAGACCATTCATGAATGTGGATAGCACGTATCTGGCTACATTACCACGGTAAGTGAAACACCTTATACAGTAAACTCCTGGATATTTGGCATGCATGGAGAATAGGGTGTACTGTTTACAAGTATCTGAGAGTTGCATGGGAGAAAATCTTACAGAAATCCAATACAAAGTCAAAACAACATATATCCACTTTAGTTCTTTCACATGCATCTTCCTAGGCAAAGAAGCAGATTGATGGATGAAAGATTTTGGATATACAGTATTTTAACAAATTCAACTAGCCTGTACTCTAATGGCATTGGCAAAAGAGAAGAAGGTGGACTGCTAGTGGCAGCTAGGAGAACTAGAGTGTATATAAGTGCATTAAAATTTTTAATTTTTGCCAGTTGCATGAAAATTCTCGTTCTTTAGATAACCAAATAATCTGACTTCATTTAAACCTTCCCAGCAGAAGGTGCAGCTCTTGAATGACTTTGGATGTAGCCAGGGATTGAAGTTTGGTCATCCAGTCCACAGCCAGCAAGTAACATACTGGAGGACTTCACACAATCTCTATTTAATTTGCCTAACATTTCAAGTATTAACTGACATAAGACAAAGGAGCCCACAATGTGAGGTTATACTTGCATACACAGACTGAATATCACACATGCAACATTCATTTTTTTTTACCACAAAGAGGTATATCACATACAGAAAAACAAGAAGTTCAAGCATGTACTGAATAAAAATAAGACAGACCATGAAGTTCAATTACAAAGGTGTTGATACATCAGATTTCTAAGAAGGGTTTAATGATAGAAAATCACACCAGTCAAGATGACAAACTGCACTATAAGGTTTACCAAAATGCATTACGGCATACAGAGCAAAGAAGGAAGGGCTATTACTGATACAAACTAAAGAGAGGGGAATGCCAACCGTGATGAAAACATCAAAGTTTCCGTGGATCTGGGAAGAGGTGGCAAAGATGGAATGATGTGAACTTCTGTGGAGAGAAGTAATTATATGAACATTTCAACAGGGCCTTAAAAATACAAGAGAACCATTTAAGAATCTTTTTAAAAAGTAAAATTTAAACATTTTCTGGAAATAAAAATTACTCAGAGGGAAACATACTGTGCTGATTTAACTTACATTACTGCTACAGCACGCTTTACAATATTCTTGTATGTACCTCACTTGCAGGAAAATAATATTAACATTATTCGCAGGAAAGTCATTCCATTGATTATTCAAACAAATAGAGTGTGAGTGGAAAATGTTACACAGTACTTTAGATCTCCTTGTTCACAGTCTTCTTACACTTAAAGACTCTACTGGCTTACCAGGAATGGTGCACAAGACCATATAAATGATGTGCTTGCATTGAGATAAGCTGTCTGCTTAAGTACAGCAATTTCTTTGTCTCGTATCTTCAGAATCTGCTGCTCAAATGACGGCTCCCATGCGTACAGTTTCAACACTTTAATTCCACTCAATACCTGCACAGGAACAGTTGATAATTTACAGGTTGACATAATTATTTCAAATATTAATCCTATTCAGCCTCAAGTTCATCTAAGTAATATTAAAAAAAAAAATCAGTTCCAAAGTCATATGAAACACACCACACCTTCATCAATTAATTCAGTTTATGGAAATAATTGCCGTCTATTCTGAGAATCTCTCTCGTGCACGCGGATGCACCCCCCCTGTATTTTTTACAGTCAGAGTATGTAATACACATAGTGACCACTGTACTTTGAATGATCAAGATTCAGTACTATAACTCTAGAGTTACAACTAATTACTTCTTCAAAATTATATTTCATTTGAGTTCAACACATATAAACCAATAAAAACCAAAAATATATTTTAAAAACTTCACTTGCTGCCATAAAAAGCTCACAGCAGTACAAAGTGTATTTTGTTTATACCACATTACTTTGAACACAAGACGTCCTAGAATTTGAGATTTGTCCAATTATTAAATGAGGGTTTTAAGAAAAAATAAGAAATCTTTATTTATTTCAATGAGTTCATTTAGGACACATCAATTAAGATAACAAAATATTTAGAACGCAGTCAAAGCTAAAAGCAATGGAAAATATACTAGAATGAAACAAAAAAATTTTAATTGTCACTATATGCATATTCCTTTCTATCTTTTTTATTTAGTCAAAACGTTCATCCAATGCTCCTTCAGTCGCACTTTCATTTTCTGATGACGAACCCTCGCCTCTTTGTTCACTGTTGTTCCAAAGAATATAATTTTGAATGCCATCTTCAGCATTTTACAAACGATTCTGGAATAATACTGACTGGCACTTCTTCCAAGCTCTTACTCTTCTTATTTTGCTACTAGGTGTTAATATATGATTGTATTTATTCAGCCAGACATCATAGTGTTTACAGACAAGACGCTTGAATGGTTTGTTAACTGACTTGTCATGCCACTATAAATTATCACAAAATCAGTGTTTCTGTTTCTCGACCTATTTCTGATTCTAAAGGACAAAGGGCCATGAAAAGCATCCACTGCAAGCACAGTCCGTGGCTTTGATAATGCACCAGAACGATGTTCCCATACACATCAAAGACAGTCTTCCATTAACTCTGATGTCATCCATGCATTTTTTTGGGCCCAAACTATTACAATTTTGCAAACATTTTCTCTTGGCACTGCCTTTCTGTTTAACATTACATATGGTGAAAATTTACTGCCATTTGCAGTCATACACAGCATGACAGTAATATATAACTTTTTGTAGCCTGTGGCTTTCATTGCCATTTGTTTTTCCCCTTTAAAATTTATGCTACAATTGTGAGGCATGTCGTAAATCTCTGAAATACTCTAAAACAGAAGCATACATCTCATAATTTCTCCTTTTCCTTGGTCCAGGAAAAGATTTTTTCTATTTGTCAGACATGAAAACTGATTTGTTTTTATACTTCACCAGTGACATACACAGGCCTCACTTACTGCATACTTTCTGCCAGCTGCATGATTACCTATCTTTACAGTGCACAGAATAACTTTTCTTTTGAATGCAGCATCAAATGTAAAACGCTTTTCAATGCGTGAAAACTGAGAGTAAACTGAACACACCTGAAAAATAAGAATATTAAGACAAATGCAGGAACTTAAAAGTTTGGGGTTGGCTCACAGTTAAAGGTGGGGGGGGGGGTGATGTTGCGTGATGACTCGCTCCAAATGTGTTTGGTTCTTTCTAGGCTGCCCCATGGAGAGCTTACAAACTTGTGACTAATTCCTCAAATTCAAGATGGACTTCAATTTTTCAACAAGGAAAAATGTGAAAAATGTGTCTTATGTTCAAAGTAATATGGTAATATATTCAATCTGCATTTCAGTCACATTAAAGTCATATTAAGCACACATTATGGCTTTACAAAAAGATATTATCTAAAACTAATTGAACTGCAGCTTTTACTACTACAATTTAGATTTTTGTATTGGACTAAAATCCAGGCAGTATGCTTGAATAAGCCAGTAAAATACTTACAAACAGTAACAATCTCCTTATTGTTCAGTTAACAACCTAAGAAAATCATATTTGAAAATTCCTGTCTTTTGGAACTTAATTTAGACAATATACAACCTGTCACTTAACCAGAAAATTTGTAACTGATCAAAACCTGAACTACACTGACCTCATTCATCAACTTCACCCGCTCATCCTTGTATTTCATTTGTCGGATCTGTAGTGTTTTCACACGGCTGGCAACAACTCCATTAACAGGAATCAAAATGACCATAACTGCCAATCCAGCAAAAACAGATGCACCTACAAAAACATCACTACCTATAAACAGTGCTAATTTTGCTGTTATGCACCCTCTTAGAGTTTATGTACATATAAAATAATCTCTCTCCACAATATTTCTGCACATCATGTAAGAACAAGAAGCTCAAATAGCTCACAAGAGCTATATAATCTATAATTAAGAAATATTTCAGTACTTAGAAAATGCAAGAAACAATACTAGCACAACAAAGTTCCTCAGAAAAATGCCCATAAAAAGTTTATCATTTAATACTTAAATTTTTTTAAAGAAAAATTAAACTACTGCTCAAAGAGTAAAGTATAAAAGTAAAAAGTAAAGGTATCCCTGTACCAGGCCATGGAGGCCCACAGGGTTGTGAGATGCTGAGGCTCCCACATTTTCTAGACAATCAGCTCATAGATGGCGGTGTGAATGTCAGCCTTACGCGCCGGCAGCCCTTTACCCCCAGAAATATTCCTGGTACTCATAATTTCTGTTAAGAGGCTGAGTCGACCCCAGGGCCATAATGCGGCTGGAAGGATTGGGTAAATTGAAAAATATCCACCTCATTGGGATTCAATCTCGCAACCTTCCGTCTTGTAGCATAGTGCCTCAACCAACTACGCTACCCCACAATTCTTAAATTTGAAAAATCAGTCACAGGGTGGTTAAGTATGTTCACAATGATCATTATCTAAACCATAAATTGGGGAAAAGAAATTATTTTCAACAACCTATTCAATAAGCTATACTGAAACCACTGAGTTTTCCACATAATTCCTCAAAAATATGTTCACAGAACCTATATTTAAACCTTAAAGTCCAGAGGACTTTTCAGAAAAAAAATAAATAATTTGTAAGATTTGAGGCTTTCACGGCGGTGACTATGAAGAAAGCAGTCTTCTGGGATTTGGCACCAAATCCCAGAAGACTGCTTTCTTCAATAAATAATTTGTTTAAATGTATTTTGAAATTTACAAACCAAACACAACTGCATTCCTTTGAATAAACATCCATCAAATGGAGACAACTGAAAATGAGGACAATCTGAACCAAGAAATGTTATAAATTTACTTCACCACTGATACTTTTCTACTATGAAATATACCAGAGTACTTTGTTCTTTTCTTTTTCTAAATGGCTTTGGCCTCACCTCTTTCGATTAAAACTAAACTGAAAGCAAGAACATGCCTAGTGTTTCTACAATGTTCAAATAAAAAAAATCTATACTTTTAACCCTACTACCTGAACACAAGATTCCTGGACTGTTGTAACTGCCTCAGTGAAAGGTGAGAGGGGAGGCCAAGGTCACGTTTCCACAAGCCTATTGCATCAGTCTGCACATGACACTGCACTGTGAACACGCACTGTTTTTACGTGAGTGCTTTTTTGACTTTGTGTTTCATTTTGTCTTTGATGGATGGCAAAATCAAGCAACGTGACTGCATCAGGTTTTGCGTGAAGCCCAGTAAATCCAATACTGAAACCCCTGAAATGTTGTTTCGTGAGGCTTTTGGAGAACACTCTTTATGCCAGACAGCGGTTTCTGAATGGCATTTATGTTTCAAGGGCAGTAAAGTGTCAGCTGAAAGTTAACAAATTTTCAAGGTGACCAAGTACCAGCAAACTGACAGAAGATGTTGAAAAAAATTTGAGAACTCATCCACAAAGACCGTCACCGAACAATCCATGAACTTGCAGACACTGCTCGGATCACTTGTGGAGTTCACCAAGAGATCTTAACAGAAAATTTGAACGTGCACCGCAATGTCGTAAAGTTTGTTCTCGAATCTTGACAAATGACCAAAAGCAGTGACACTTGTGAGTAAACATGTGTCTTGAGCTACAAGAGAAGGCTATGGAGGACCCAAATTTTAGAGTATTTCTAGAAACATAATAGGTGACAAGCTGAATTTACAGTTATATGTAATTCAGAAACAAAGCAACAATCATTTCAGTGGAAGAACCCACAATCACCAAGAGAAAAAAAAAAGCATGGCAGATCCAGAGTTCAATGAGGAGCATGCTCATTGCTTCTTTCGACATGAAGGAGATTGTTCATGGTGAATATGTTCCTCCGAACACTATGGTCAACTCTGACTTTTACTGTGACGTTTTGAGACACCTGAGAGAAAATGTGATGAAAAAGACCGAAACTTTGGTGCAACTGCAACTGGCCCAATCATGACAACAGAGAGTTCGTGACTAACAACAACACGGTTATCGTCCCTCTGACATCCAAATGGAATTGCAAGCGGTACTCAACAGCATGAAACAAAATTACTTCCATCGTGCTTCTGATGTAGCATGGAAAAAATTGATGGGATTACTGTATACATTCCCACAAAGGAGACTATTTTGAAGGAGATGGCAGCCAAAATTGATCAAGTTAAGACAGCATTTCTTTTTTGACCTTGTCCAGGAACCTTCCATTAGTTCCTTCAACTGATAATTGACACTCACTTCAACTTCCTTCACACTTTTCCCTCCAAGGGACAAATAGTTAGTATGTAAGATTTGAGGTTTTCACAGAAGTGACTATGAAGAGAGAAGTCTTCTGGGATGTGGCACCGTGTAGGTATTGTGTTAACTAACGTTTCGGAGGAAAGTATTGCCTCCATCTTCATACCATTTACACCTGCTCACACTAGTTCTTCGCTTTGGGATTTTCTTCTTTTTTTCTCCTACCCTGAAGATGGAGGCGATACGTTCCTCCGAAACGTTGGTTAACACAATATCTACATGGCGTCACATCCCAGAAGACTTCTCTCTTCAGTTGTCAGTATATTCATATCTGCTAGATTCAGGTTGATAACAGAACAGAGAACTTACTAGGGAAATTACCCCCTTCTTTCAAATATTCAGTTTTAATAATTTTATAAAAGATATTGACATTTCATCCACCGATGTCTCTGAATGACATTTCACTTATCCTTCCAGCTGCATATAAACGGTAACAAGTCCCTGCTGTTGTAATGTTACCTTATTTTTTGATATTCCTGGTTTATACTGATGAATAAAATGCATACTTTTTTCAAAGAAGAACACAGTAAAGCATAAGGGTACCATCTGATGATGACAAAACCAAATACTAGCACAATCTAAGGATGAAATTTCAAACATGTTGAAAGCTGTTTGGAAAGTGGCCAACCACATCTTGAAGACAATGGGTTAATCTATAACAATACTTTGTATTTCTTATAAGAGTTATGCATCTGTTTACATACCAAGTGTTTGCCATAAGAAGTACAGTGCTAGACCAATTTGCAGTGGGGCCGACCAAATCATATTCAGATATGCAGTGAGGTCCATGAATCTTTGAGCATCCACGGACATGAGATTCACAATCTCGCCAACTGTAGATTCTTTCCGTGCAGTGTTCGACATACGTAAGGCCTAGACATAGTTACAAAAAAACTTTCTCAATGACACACTGATGCAAACAAAATCCCTTCTACTAACATCCATCCAACAGATTATAAACAAGACATATACAGTGAAGAGTTCTAATCTGTGGAACAGAAGACAAAAAAACTGCTTGGTACAAAGCAATAAAAAAAGTCTAATTACAAGAATCTTGTTATGGAATACATGCATATAATCTCAAAAGTTAAAAGTTCTATCTTCTGGCATGCAATGACATGCAGTTCATTGAAAATCAATCAGCAATTTGGAGAAACATGTCACCTCCATTTTCAGAGTTGAAGAGTATGACGAGCAAGAAACCAGCATAAAGTAGGCAAAAAACAGTGCTCTATCTCATGTTGCATCCCAGATGATAAAACTTTTCATAACTGCTACAAAGAAGAAATCCTACATTTATCATATCAACTGCCCAGTGGAGATAAGAAAATAAATAACAGACCAAGAGGAAGGTCAATATCAAAATGGAAGCATGAGTGTGAGTCTGGATAGGGTAATAGGCACAGCATGTAGAATGCACAGTTCTGGTACGAAAGCCTGAAAATAATAGACTATTTTGGGGATGCAGGCATGGAACTGAGGTCCACATTAAGATGGATCTAGTAAAGAAACAGTGTACAAGGTGTAAACTGGATTCATGAACCTCAGGATAGCAACTAGTGGTAAGCTCTTGTAAACACAGCCACAAACCATTGGATTCCATAAATGTATGAAATTTCTTAACCAAGTGAACAAATGCTGGCCCCTCAAGGACTCTGCTCTATGCAGTATGTTACTGTAACATGGATGGACACAGCGTTGCTAAGTAACTGACCGCAAAACGCCTTGGAACCAAATACATGCAAGGCAACAATGAGAGTGCAGCGTTTTCTATGGAGTCCATGCCACGACCATTGCTATGCAATCAGTCGGTAAACACGTTCCAACAATATAGCCTGTTTTCTGCGTGGTGAGTGCGGAAGCTATATAACAACAGTTACAGACAGGGCAGATGTCAGTATTTGGGAGTATCCAAGAGTGTTTGAGTGTGTTTAAGTAACAGCAATGGGAAGTTCGTAGAAGACGTGTGAAGATTTAAAGGGTGATTGAAGACCTTAATTGTGTGCAATCTGGAGTGATCTGAAACACTAATTTGTGTGTTGAGATACGTTAACCGGAGAAGACTAGTGTGTGCATGCAACAGTGCATTATAAGGTGCATGTAAATCAGCGATACCGCTATAAATTAAGTGTAACTGAGTGTGTATATGTAACTAAGTGGTTAATGAAACCAAGTGTGTATATGTAACTAAGTGGTTAATGAAACCAATAACCAATCCAAACGGCTTCTTCAGTAACCCAACATGTTACATTACTTACCGATGAAGTCTCTCACCTTGCGATATATTGCAGAAATAAGAGCAGTTCTGATCCGAAGACCAACCAAGAACATGCGGTTAAAATATTGAGCCAGGATCAGTGTTTGTAGAGATGCTGTAGCCAACATGAGTATTGCATATAAGTAACCCTTCCATAAGGGCTCTTTGCCTTCAACAAACGAAATCAACAATCTGAAATTATCAAAAGCAAATATTGCATTAATCACTTCATAAACATTAAAATATCTACAGGTTTATGACAATGGTGTGTTATTAAACTAACATATAATTCAGACCACTGACAAAACTAATGAACATATATGGTGTTCATTAGTTTTGTCAGTGGTTTGAAAACACTGACAAAACTAATGAACACCATATATGCAAGTGGAGAGTGGCCCAAGGACTTTACAGAAGTTACAATGATTGCCTTAAAGAAAAAGACAAAAGCTACAAAATGCAGCGACCATCGCACAATAAGTCTTATTGCACATACAGCAAAGATAATAGCAAAGATACTTAAA